TGTCTAGTTTTCTTCTGGAAAATCACCAAAAGCAGCCATGTTAGCGATGGAAGAAAGTTTACGGTCATTTCCAGCTGCCTCACCAGCCTAAAGGACTCAATGGAAGAAAGGGCTAGATAGTAAAGATTTAAACCAAGAAACTATGATCTCGTTCTTCGGATATTCTGCATACATTAAAAGCAGAATGCTTATTTTTTTCTCTTTTTGCTTTCCTAAATTTCCAGTGTTTTTATGAGACTATTGAGAAGCAAGCCCATCTCTCAACTGTATTATGAGTCACTTCCCTCTCTCTGATCAGAGTGATAGGTCACTGAATGTGATTTCCCTCTGTCATGCCCTTCTCCAGACATGTGTTTGGTATTGTTGAGGCTAATGCCTCCTTCCCTCTTCCTCCCAGCCTTTACTAGTGAGTAGCAGCTTACCACAACATAAGTGGATGGTCATCCACTTCAAAAGTTGCATCCACACACTTTTGTGCCTTCCACCTCTGGAAGCAGGTGGCCTTATTTTTGATGCAGGCTTGTATCTATTCTTGCTAATTAGCTCAGTGTCTGCAGGATGGAGAATGAGTACAGTGTCTCTTTCCTCTGTTGTTGTGTTTTAGGAATAGTATTCCTCAATTTAGTAGTCCTGCTAAAACCATGTCACCACTCGTTCTCCTTCCTTCTCACCCCACTGAATGCACAAAAGGCGGAGATCACAGCTGAGATAAGAACAATTTCCTGGAAACAGCAATTAGAAAAGAAAGCTAATAGTAACAGCAACTGTATTGCTAACAAAGGTATACAGAAGAGAAAGTGATCCACATGCAAAATGCTCACCAAGCCCAATCCAACCGGACTCGAAGCTGGCACCACCCCACCACTCTCTGTCTCTGGGCCTTGTCACTCTACCCTGACCGCTCCATCCAGAAGCCAAAGAATCCCTGCCCCCTGCCCCCAATAATGATATGACATGGTACTGAATAAGATCTAACCCTGTCCTTGGCCAAAACTAGGACACCTGCCAAGAAACTAAGGGAAAGAGATGTTCTGATAAGTAATCAAGGAAAGAATGCTAAAAAGGAAATTTGGTTATTGTTTCTGCAGCTTAAATACTTGGTTTCATAGTAATATGAGTAGAGTTTAATTTTTGATTCTTTCTTCCAGTGGCTGATGAAATTGTCTTTATGGGACAGTAAGCAGTGGGAGCAATGAAAGCATGTACCCACCATAGTGCTTTATTTCCATTACCAATGTGCTGAACAGTGGACTAGGTGCTTCAAAAACACCAAGTGTGGCCTTCAGTGGTTTGAATTGTCTGAATTTTAATTGTCAGTTGATTGAAAGGGGACCCTCTTCACACTGATATTAATTGTTCATTAGGATTTTCTTTTCCCTTCTAATTATTTCATATAGTCGCAGTCAGTAACATGACGATTCCTTGTAGTTGTGCTCCTTTACAAACTCTTGAGGTGTTTCTTTCCAATTTATATGGCTAATAAACTGTATATAATAGCTTCTACTGAAGGAGAAAACTGATTGGTTGATGTAGGTTTATAAAGAGCTCTGTATCATTTTATCTGCCACAAAAAGAGCTTGGCCACTGTCACTTGATAAATAGTCTTTAACAGTAACATAACTACAGGGTATCTCCAGATGCTTTCTTTAGATAAAGTCCTCATTAGGTTAATGTAAGATCACTGGCTTTAGCCTGCATTTTATTTTATATAATGAGTTCCTTTTTATACAATAAAGCTTATGAAAGAAGAAATTGTTGGCTCATAGGGTAGAGATGGATGAATATAATAACACTTCTGTTGGAGGGATTTATGATGTATATTTAGCATTGCAGACAACATAGTAAATCACTGCCACGGCGAACGTGAAAGATGCATTAGATGCCATTTGCTTTTTACCAGCCTATCTAAGTCCTTTTCAGATGTCATTCTAAAGATTTATAAATCAGTCTCATTTCATGTTATTAAAAAGTCTATTACACATTATAATGCAGCTCTGAAACATGGCAAATTATTTTACTTTTGTTGTCGTTGATGCCATTAATATCTCCTCCCTGTTCCATGATATTTAAACCAGATAGAAGATAAAGGATAGAAGAATCCCTGGTGCCAGTGTTATGTAAACAACACAGTAATTGGAAAGGTAGATAAAATGTTTGTGAGAAATGTAATAGTGATAAGTTTTCCCCAATTTCCTGGGATATGCATGTAAAGTGACATTATGTTCTTTGGTCAGATGCTGCTGTTAATCTCAAAACACAAAAAAGAAATTATTCATTTGGAAAACTCTTAGAAGGGCAGGTTCAGTATTGTGTTACATGAACTATGTCCATAATACTGACTATGGCAATATCTGTAATCAGTGGAATGCATGCAATTGGATTTTTCTGTGGAAACTTCATATTAGCATCTGTGGACACATTAGTTGAAACCAGTGTTTGCTCTCAAGTAGAGATGTCACAGAACACTTCATACTATTTTTACACTGCTCAACGCAATCGGATCCAAAAAATTGATTAAGGCAAATTAATTAATTTAAACAATGGTGAAGGTTGGGAGAGTTAAAAACTCAAAGAATGTAAGCTATTACATTTGAGTCAATACTCATAGCTCACACTTTTCAGTTTCTGTGGCCTGTAATAACTACCTATGGGACATCAACATGCTCCTTTGATCAAGAGTGTATCTATCCAATGCAATTTCTGTATCTTGGAAAAAAAAAAGATTTTAGAATCAATTAGATCAGTTAGGAGTGCTTTGTTGTAATGTATGGCAACATCTTCCAGATGTCTCAGAGAGCTCAAGGTATTAGCAATGGCTTCAGTCAAGAGGGAAGACAGGTTGTATGGGAGCAGGTGTGTATTGGAGTAACAAGACTGAAACCCAATAAATGAAAATTTCTTTTGTAGCTCTCAGAGGGAAAAGTGGAGAGCAGTGTTTGTGTTCTTTTAAGTAATAATTCACTTGATCCTGTTCATTTCACATGGGATCTATTTTGCTGAAGGACATGAATATATATATAAATATTGCCTATTTATAATAGGCAATTTTGATTATTTGTGTGTACAGTCTTCAATTCTTTTCCAACCTGTCTGAACATGTTATGCCTTATTTTTTTAAGCTGTTACTTCTTTAGGAGTTATTGAGCATCTCCAAGTATATAGTTGATTGTTGGGATTTATCCATGCGCAAGCGACTTTCAGTTATTTGCTATTCAAGGTATTTTTCTCATTGTAAATTAACCTTAGATGAAAAAGAAGGTGTGCTAATTGACAAAGAGAAATATTTAAAATGGCTGATAAAGTTTTATACTGCACAAGAAACTTGAGGGCAACATTTATTACAAGAACAGATTTATTTTGTCTGTTTTACTGTCACCTAGTCAAAAAAACTGCAGTTCTGAAATGTGGATTTGTTCCACAGCTGCTGATGCTTTTCTCGGGCAGGAGCAGTCTGTACAACATTACTCTATGGGCTTAAACATGCAGATTAGTCTGAAGTTTAGTGTACGTGCATAACACAGTTACTAGTCTTCTGACTACTAGCAGGAGAAAATGGCAAGCATCTTTTTTATCTGAGCTTTTCTTTCCACACTGGCTGTTGTTCAACACTCAGAATACAACAGGTCCATTTGCCATTTATTGGGAAAGCCCCCCAGGAAAGGCTCAACAAGCATGTCGCCGTTTATAGTCCATGGACTGTTTTCACTCATGTGGAATACTGATGATAATTATCCAAGCATAATGACCAAATTGAAGGAGGAAAGCTATTAGTCAGTCTTCAAAGCTGAAAACATGTTTTTGCATTTACTTTTAAGTTTTGAAAAATAGGCACAGACATTATGGTGATAGGTGCTTTGTGCATGTTTGCAATATCCTCATTGATAGCTTCCTTTTTACAGGAACAATGCCTTCTGAGGACCAAAATACCTCTTTATCTTGATTGCTTGAGGACAGAAACCTCCAGGATAAGCAAGATAATAGGAACTAAAATAGCTTCAAGTCCCATTAACTCTAGCCATCATAAAGCACAAGTAATGCACACTCAAACCAATCATTATTTATAATGAATTCTGAAAATATGATATAGAGCCTGAAACCAAACTCAAATTAAAATCAATATGATGTCACATCAGTACTGATGTGTCTTTTAGAGACAGCATGGGATACAGAAAATGATTATAAAAGAATATATTTATTTTAATCTCTGAATTTATATTTTAAATAATACTCATTTGCAGTAGGGTTATGCAGAGAACACCAGTGTTCGTGGTCTGGTGATAAATCCTTTGAGCTCTTCTATGATTTGCAATGTAACCAGGACCCACTGAAAAAAAAATCCTTGCATCTCATTACTCCTTTAAAATCTGTATCACAATTTTCAGACTATATTACACTTCAAATAAATTAATTATTTGTAAAACTGATAGACGTAAATATTTTTTTTCATAAAATAAGATAAATGAAACTATTTATTTCACATAGGAAGCTGATGATATTGCCGTGTCATTGTTGAGGGACAAAATAGTGGTGCTGATACCATGTTCGGCTTAGTCAAGACAAAAGACTAAGTGAGGAAGAATTATTTTCCCTGCAACCCCTCTTCCTACTGAGTGTCCTGAGCTCTTCATCCTATGGGTGTACTCAGGCTGTCATTCACCTCCATTTGAATGAAAAATCACAGAATCATCAAGGTTAGAAGAGACCTTCAAGGTCATTTAGCCGAACCGCCAACCCAGCACGACCATAATCACCCCTAAACCGTAGAAAAAAGGTCCTCACTGTGCACCGTTTGCAGCGAATGAATCCACAGAAGACAGAGTTTGTCCAGGAAGAACTCTCTTACAACTTTATTACTCCATTTCTGTATACAGACTCTACCGACCCTAGGTCCGAGCTCTCCAGCCAGCAAGATGTTTCCTTATCTCCCCACATACCACACACCCCCAGTGACTGCTTCCAGCCACAGAGAACAGCCATGCTTCAGGCAGCTTTCCAGCTTGACCTTGTGATTCTTTTCACACACACCTTAATCTTAGCTCTGGCTCGCTCAGGACCACAATATTTTTGCTTCAGTATTTTCTTCTTCTTTTATCATCCAGGTGGCTGGTGCTGTTCATCCAGCTGCTTCTACACTAAACCATATCCCCAAGTGCATATCCAGATGCCTCTTGAACACTTACAGAGACAGTGACTCTAGCACCTCCCTGGGCAATTTATTCCAATGTCAAACCACTCTTTCACTGATTTTTTTTTTTCCTAATACCTAATCTGAACCTCCCCGGCACATCTTAAGGCCATTTTCTCTCATCTTTTCACTTGAGGTGTGACAGAAGAGACTGAGCCCCATCTCACTACAACCTCCTATCAGGTAGTTGTAAAGAACAAGGAGGTTCCCCCTGAGCCTCATCTTCTCCAGACTAAACAACCCCAGTTCTCTCAGCCAGTTCTCATAGGACATGTTTTCTAGACCCTTCACCAGCTCCATTGCCAAGTCAGATGCAAGAATTCATGGTCACCAGCATGCTGTATGCCAAAATATGATCTAAATATCAGAATCCAGATTAATATAATAAGTTTTTCTTCATATCTACTCCTTTGTCTCTGATTGTTACTTGAACTGATTTGTTTATTCCTATTAAACACCACTTATTCTTTATCCTTTAGCAACACGAAGGACTACTTATCCACACTTTTTATTTAAGTTTATTAGAGTGTGTCTGGAGGAGGGCAACCAAGGTAGTGAAAGGTCTTGAGCAGCTGAGGTCACTTGATTTGTTCCACTTGAAGAAGGGAAGCCTGAGGCGTGACCTCATTACAGTGCACAACTTCCTTAAGATGAGCAGTGGAGTGGGAGGTGCTGATCTCTGGTGACCAGTGGTAGGATATGAGCAAATGGAATGAAGTTGTATCAGGGAAGATCCAGACTGGACATTAGGGAAAGGTTCTTCACCCAGAGGGTGTTCAATCACTGAAACACCCTAGGGGAAATGGTCATAGCATCTATCCTGTCAGAGTTCAAGGTACCATCTGGACAGTGCTCTTAGTCATATGATATAGTTTTAGGTGGTCCTTCAAGGAGCAGGGAGCTGGACTCCATGATTCTTAGAGGTCCCTTCTTTCCCTTGAGATATTCAATCTTCTGATTTTATAGGTATTCATATATACAAAATACATGTGGCACTGAAACCTGTATAAACAAGAGAGATCTAGAGAAAGGAATATTTATGAGCAGATAAACAGAAGGCTTTACAAATGAGAGAGATCATCAGTGATTAGCTCTGAAAATTTTCTAGATGACTTTTCAGGTCACTCTAAGTTTATCATGTGCATATATAATGCAAACATGGACTAGATGCATTAATATGACATGTGTGTCCATGCAATATTCTGTTTGATCTGATATGAAAATATCAGAGCAAATATTAATGCAGGGAAAAAAATCCATTGTGAGTAGAGGAAATCTGACTTCAATGGGGCTGTAAATGCTACAGTATTTTTCTGTGCTATGCTGGTTACATCCATTGAAAACTCAGTCTATTAGTGCTTATTGCCATCCAGTGTTTATACTTCAAGAGCCTTATATCATGCCTTACACTGCCTCAGTCATTCCTTTCTTGGCTAACCTACATTTGGTATGCATCCATTTTTCTGGCCTGTAGCCCTTTGGATGTACATAAATAACTCAGTAAACTAACACTAACCATGATAAGTATTGCACTGGTAGTAAAAATCTGGATGTTTCTCATGGGGGGCTGAAAAACTGATTTGGCTTCTTTGTAGTCAGCTTCTGCTTGGAACAAACAAAGGTTATTTACAATGAAACATAACCCCATTCATCAGTTCTCAACAAATAATCATTCTGAAACAATTTAAATACAGAAAATTTGCTTTACAAGTCTAGTATAGAGTATGAAAATGCAGTTTGAGTGTTTCAATATGTGTTCAGCATGTGCAGTTTAAGAGTATATGGGTTGTTACTTGTGATTTGTTTCCCTTTGACAGCTGCTCATTCTATAAGGCATAGAGTATTTTATACTCTAGCTACAAAGATCCCTCTAAGCCATATTGGGGCGTTTTCCTTGCAAGGTGGCTCTTGTAGGAGCCAGTTTTTGTAGTAAGTGATAAAAGAATCATTTCTCTCTCTTTGAGAAATATACTGCATATACTCTGGGCAGAAGTATAATTCATAGCAGTAACGAATGTGTTACTAAGAAAAACAGAGGAGGAATATAGCAGTATTTGATTTGTTACATTTATTTATTTATTTGTCACATTTGATTGTTACCTTTCCCTTATTTGGTAAATTTTTGTTTTGTTTTTCTTATAATTTAGAGTTTTACTGCACTGGAATGCAGTTATCAATGCCTCTTTCAAGAATGGTGATTTTGTGAGTATTTCTGACAGTCAAAGATTGCAAAAGGGGCAATTTAAAGCAAACATGCATGCAGAAATCTTTATTTTTTTTTCAGCCATTCTGGAAAAGAGCTGGTATTAATTTCACATCAGATATACTGTCTTGATATTTCAGATATATGAAAAAAAGAGGCAGGAGGAGAAAAAGAAAGTAATGCTTTATGCCTAAGGTCAGTAATGAGTTTATAGGAGCAGCAGGATTGTTTATTTTGGGGTCAGGGATCTTCTGAATTGCCGTTTAATTTCAGCTACAGGTTCTTAATGAGTATAGCAAAAGCTGCATTGGTACTAAACATACGCTTTGAATAAAGCTTTTATGCCAACACCTTATATAAATCTCTGACCAGATTGTCAAAATGAAAAAAATCTCTTTTCATCTCAAAATCTGAAGGGAAAAATAAAAAAAGCCTAGATTAGGTAACGCTAATAATCCCCCTATACTTCAGAATCCAATGGTTATTCAGCCTCAAAGGATGCTCTTTTCTATGGCAGATTAAGATGCATGGGCCTTGCTAATGTTGTGATTGCAGCTTTCTTAATAATTATGGACATATGGTTTTATTATGTGTTTTAATTGATCAAAATTTCACTGTTCACAAATGTGGATATTTATTCCCATATAGCACTTTATTTAAAAAAAAAAAAACCAAACACTGGAATCATAGAATCTCCTGAGTTGGAGGGGATCATCAGGATCGTTGAGTCCAACTCCTGGCCCTGCAAAGGACACCCCAAGAGTCACACCATGTCCCTGGGAGCATTGTTCAAACATTTCTTGAACACAGACAGGCTTGGTGCTGTGACCACTGCCCTGGAGAGCCTGTTCCAGTGCCCAGACACCCTCTGGGGGAAGAACCTTTTCCTGATATCCAACCTAAACCTCCTCTGACTCAGCTTCAGGCCATCTCCTCAAATCCTGTCTCTGCTCACTAGAGTGAAGAGATCAGTGTGTGACCCTCCCCAGGAAATTGTAACTGCAGTGAGGTCTCCCCTCAGTCTCCTCCAGCTGAACAGACCAAGTGCCCTCAGCTGCTCCTCACAGGGCTTCCCCTCAAGGTCCTTCACCATCCTCATGGCCCTCCCTTGGACACTCTCTAACGGCTTAGTGTCTTTCTTATATTGTGGTGCCCAAAATTGCACACAATATTCAAGGTGAGGCCACACCAGAGCAGGACAATCATCATTTTTATATGTATAACTTTATATCTCACTGTTTTTGCGTAGTGTTATCAGAGCTATTTTTGCATATATATGCATCACCTATATGTACAAAGAGAATGTCTCTGGTCAAGATTGTCATTTTAGCATTTGAAGATATGTACAAAATTAACAGATTTCTTAAGTCCTCATCCAAGAAGAATCCTGTTTGCTTTTGCTTCTGAACAGAGAATACATTTTTTTCCCATACTGTATATATATACAAATGGTGCAAGAAAAATTTAAACGTATTTATTTCTGATGCTGTGAGTATGGAAAATTAACATTGAATTTAACAGTTAACTTCATATCCGTTGACCATTAGCCCCATAGGTTTTGTTTTTTTCTATTATACAAGTATTTACTCCCCTTTACACCTTAATTCAGGATTCAAAATTTTGTACATATCTTCTGTTGTCTTAATTGGGAGATGCAAAAAAAATCTGCAAGATTAACTATGCAGGGACATGTGTTCAAGTAATCTTAAAAAGTTACCTATTCCAATGACATTTTCTGTACTTCTTCACAGGAGAGAGGAGATAATTTTGCATCTGTGTAGAAAAAACTAATAACTTAGGTGTTTTTATAATTTTTTTTCTAAAACGTGAATGCACTCAGAAAATTTTTATGACAGAGTGAAAAATTTAGTGATGAATATACATAACTTACAGAATAGAAACATACTTTGAAACATGGTGTGATAGTCTTGAGAACATGATACAGGACAGAGTTCTATTTTCTAATACATGCTTTTTACCTTTTTTTCTTTGTTGTTTGGGGTTTTTTTCTGTTCCATTGAAAGGAATTTAAAAGGCTGTATGGTTGCGAAATGACTTCATCAGAGAAGTGAAGCTTTCTTGGTATAGTCCAAATGAAGATTTATTCCCTAATTTAAACTTCTGTCCTCATTGTCACTAGAAACTGCTTTTCTGCACATGTTCCTGTTTTAATTTTGGATAATTTCTAGTTCACCATTCAGTCAGGCAGCCCAGCTTTAGAAATAATCGCAGTTATGATGTCACACTGCTCCTCTCTTTGTTAGTTATATTATGTATAATTTGTGCTCTGTATGAGACTATCACAGTTCATCTTGTCTGCAGCTGGTTTTCATCATCAATAAAATCTTAAGTTTTATTTCAAATATAAATACCCATAATTAGAATGGAAAAACCCAAACCCTGTCCTATAAGGAATTCTAAATAAAGAATGATGAATGGCTTAGCAACTGTAAAGTTCCATTTACAATTCAGACTTAAAAGCAGTAAAAATAGGAGGAATTTACTTCCATTCTTTCGTGTAGGCATTTGTGAATCTATGTCCAGAACCATCACGACTTCATGATCCACCTTTGAAAATTCACCATTGTGTATTTTGGTACCATCTACTATAGATGATGCTGGAGAATGCTGAAAAGATGCAAAGATACATCTACTTTTGGTGCTTTAGCTTTGTTTTTTGGTTTTGATTTGGTTTTTTTTCTGTGTTCTGACATAGTCCTTTT